AACTTTCCTCACGATATCACGTGATCACGATCGAGGTAACGTTCACTTTAAGATAATTGAGAATTTTAACATGTATGAAGACACAGTGTGTTATTTATTAATACTGTATAATAATAAGGGGAATTCGAATAATCTAATCTGAAGTCCCTTTACAAAGGTAAAAGACGAAGCTTTTATATCCAAGTTACAGGATGAGGAGCTACACTACGATGAACAATTGTAACTAATACTACTTTGTTCTATGTGATACAACAACGAATTCAATATAGGACGAGCTCATACAAAATATAATAGAATGAAACGCCAGAACGCTGGTCACATCTGATCTTCAAGTTAGTCGAATTACCTATGGGCACCTTTATGAATAATCGGTTGTGTGCCTATGATCTGTCGATCGTAAGCACAGTCTAAATTTTTAGTGGTTATTTGAATTCGACGACTGTCCCCATAAGCAAGAGGATCGGGTATATCTTAGGTGTCACAATGTCTTTTACTGTCCCGTACTATAATAAAAGTACTTGATTAATGTAATAAGCTTTATCAGGTTACGAATATTCATAATGATGATAAATACAATTGATCTCACTTAAAGTATTTTCCGATAAATAAATTTATTCACACTTTTTTAACCCATCGATTAGTAAGCTCAAGAACGCCCTTAATAAGTTTGTAATACATGTGATACTTTTCTATCATTTCTATATAATTTGTAAACACTGGTGTAAAACAACTACAAATAAAAACTATTTGAATCATTCATTCAAGTAGCAAAAAGCCTATTTGAGTATCTATAACGTTTCACATTTTACAATGACTTATATAACGGAGAAAAAAATCCAAATTTTACTGTTACAGATATTCATAGTTCTTTCAAAATGATAATGTTACCGAATGAATGCTTTTTTGAAATATTTAATAATTTTCGAACTAATTACAAAACCTTATTTTCTTGCCTTCTTGTAAGCCGTCATTGGTGTAGAATTATTATACCAATATTATGGAGTGAACCTACAAATCACTTCTGTGA